TCGGCCCCACATGGCAGCATGGCTCTCGGGAGCCGCGCGCGATGGAGGGTTAGATGGGGCGCCCCCAGCCCTGCCGCGCGGACGACGTCGAGTAGCTTCTGCTAGTTCCAGGGCCCGGAGGGGTCGTCGCGAGCAGCGCAGCGGCCCCCTCTGAATCGGCGTCGCCAGCCCACGCGTTATACTGGGCGCGGCCGCGTCTCGGCCAGCACTTGTCGTGCATGTATATTCGCGCTGCCGCGCCCTGTGCTTCCCAGTAAGACGTGCCCAGTGTTGCCAGGAGCGCGTTCCGCCAGATGCTCGAAGCTGCGCGCGCGGCCCAATAACTCACCGCGCTGCTGTTGGGCCCGTGGCATCTGACCGCCGAGAGGCTGAACAGCCCTGCCAGGGCCGAACCCCAGGACCGAAGCCTAGGGCTCCAAGGAGCGCCGTTGTGGGCAACTGAAAGTTCGGGATGGCAAAGCCAACTGAATCAACCACAAGACAGGCCATCTCAAACCTGGCGAGAATAGAATCCGTTCTCTCGCCAGGCTCTAGCCAAAAGTCTATGAGCGCCGTTCCTGAGGTGAGCTGTCGCTCGTCTTAAAGGTTCTCAAGTTTGGTGCTCAAGAAAAGCATTATGTACGTGGCGGGGTCCGTATGGACGCCTTGCATCGTCGCGCCGCCACAGTGAATGAGATGGGAAGGGATTCGCATCGTAATGGCGCGCGCTACCCCACCCAGACCACGCTGCAGACGTGCAGCTTGTTGTTGTGGGGCCACGCGAGCGCTCGCAATGTTCAGCCACGCATGTACTTTACGAGTAAACCCGAGGAGCGATACGTTCCCTGAGGGGTCCCAGTATGGACCCTTTGTCGTACGATCGCCTCCACCGTTGTGGTTGCCATGTTGCATGTATCCTATAGCACGCCCGATGGCCGCCCAAAGAATGCTGAAACTTACCTACTTCGAGTGGGAATTCCACGAGACGTCTTGGACGTCGTTGTTGGTGGTCTTCGGTGCGTCTACCGCCGTTCGGAGGTGAATTGGCTGTGGGGGTGCCCCCACGTTGGTTCAAGACTCTGGGATTCGCGCTTCCGCGAAGTGGAAGTTGGTACCTTAACTTGTTTCCAAGCTCATCGTAAGTGGGAATAGAACGGCGTAAAGCCAGGGCGTGTACGCTCTCCAGAGTGGTAAGAAGGATGTCGCCCATAGTGGATATGGTGCGTCCGCGAAGCCCGCCTGCTTGCCAGCAACCACGCTCTGACGTCGCAGTGGTGTCGGCGGCATGCCGAGCCGCGCCGTGGAGAAGTATTGCGATGGCCAGCGCTGACCACAGCTTCGTGGGGCCAGATCTGCTGCCAAGTAAAAAGCAGGATGGGGACCACGTAGTAAAAAACTTTGGGCTATGGTGTAATACGGTGCATCTTCCACGGGCGTGGATACATCCCAATTCAGATGCGATTGTGGGCCGCGAGATCCTCTGGCGGTCCAAGCAAATAGGGCACTGGCACCTTGAGCCCGACGCCGGCGGCACGCTTGCTATGCTCGCTTTACAGATGCCCTTGCGAATCCCGTATTTCAGAACCCTCCTCCTTCGTCCTCGTCCTTGTCCTTGCCCTCTTCGTCTACGTTTTCCTGTTCCTCCTCTTCCTCGACGTCGTGGTCGTCGTGGTCGTCGTCTTCCTCCTTTTCCTCCTCCTCCTTTCCCTCCTCCTTCCCTCGCCCCCACACGGGCCCCATGGATGGCCCGAAGAGGCCCTCCAAGGCCACGCCCCCGGCTCCCAGAGAATTCTCTGCTCACCCTGGTTGCCCGCTTTGCTTCGCTGCACGTGTCGCTTCGTCCCTTTTCCCGTCAGCTGCCGTGGGTCGGAGTTCTGGCGCGAAGGGTGGAGGATCGGCGGTGGACAAACCTCCCTTCAGTAAACCTCCCTTTAGGGAAAGCGGCCTGGGACCGAAACCGACGGACCTGGACCCGCAAGAATGACGGCCGCGACGCCGTCTCGCGAACCGAAGACGGCCAATTCCTGAATCGCCGTGTCAGGGTAGGAGGTCTGTCGACCCCCGAAAGGATTTAATAGGCGACGAGCCCAGGGGGGAAATGAGAAGGAGAAGGCCTTCTCAGAAGGCCGCGGGACTTCTTAGAAGTCCGGGGGGCTTCTGAGACGTTTCCTTGGCCTATTTCGAATACAGACAGAACTTCTCAGAAGCCCTCTCAGAAGTCCAGAAAGTTCTCAGAAGCCTCGGAAGTCCCGCCCCTTCTCATTTCCCCCCCGCGCCCGCCGCCGATTTAAGGAAACGGACGAGTCCACCGAGGTTTCGCCTCGCTGCCGCCCGTGGGCGCCTCGCGGGCGCCCCTGTGCGCAGGGCGGGCCCGCCGAGGTTTTGCCACGCTGCCGCCCGTGGGCGCCTCGTGGGCGCCACGTGCGCTGGGTGGGCCCCCCAAAGGTGTCGCCGCCTTAATGAAGGGGCCCCGGGACACACAAATAAATACACACAAATAAACATATCCCCCATATTTTTCCATATTTTCTGGATTTTCGTCTTCCCCCCCACGTCGCATATTTTCCCATATTTTCTGGGGGATCGAGGATTAATTATGTCTGTGTGTTTCTTTTCCTCCTGACAAAGGTGTCGCCGCCTCAAGGCGACCCCCGAAACCGCCAGGAGCTCCGAAAGGCACACACCAGACCCCAAGAAGCCACCAAGAGGCTCCAAAAGAAACCCCCACACCACGTCCAAGAGGCTCCCGAAAAGGCCTTCCGAGAGACCCCCACAGGCATCCAAGAGGCCTCTGACCTACAGCCTAGGCACGGTGGCGGAATAGGTCGAAACCTAAATATGAATACTCACAGTAATCATTCCCCCCGCAATTGCGGCTAAGAGCGAAGAGGCAGATGTCGTCGGCAATCTGCAAAGCTCGTAAGCAAATAAGAAGAAGCCCACCGCAGGGAAGGAACTGTTTCACACCAGGAGCCCGTCGCAGGGGCCGATTATTCAGAACATTGTGTGTGGGTCGTTGGCGGGTCGCCGAACGAATCGGATGGCAATCTCGCCAGAATAGGTTCCAGGCGACTCCGCCCAAGCCACATCTGCGCCGAGCCATGCGCGCGCACCCGATCGGAACCGCGGCCATCGGACCAGCATAGCCAGAGCCAACATGGCAGTGGACGGCACACCTCATCGTCCTCTTCCCTGCTCCTCCTCGCCCCTCCCCGTCTTTATCCTCACCCTCTCCCCTGCCTCCTCCGCCTCCTCCGCCGCCGGCCCGCCCCCCTCCCCGGCCTGGCGACAGGAGGTTCTTCACCAGGGGGCCGTCGCTCTGGAACTGCTCCCGATGCCTGCCCCGCGGCCCGAGGCGCGGCGAGGACGCGCTTCCCCCTGCCCCCCCTGCCCCTTGCCTCGCGTCGCCCTCTGTTCGTTCTCGGCATCGCTCGGACGTCCATTTCCTGTGCTTTGTTCGGTTTCGCGCGTGGCTTTTTCGCCAAGTGATCAAGGATGCTCCTCGATGGCCCTCGCCGAAGGAAAAATGCACACGTCCGAGCGATGCCAGGCGTTCCGACACCCCGCGACGCGCACTGCCTGGCCTGCAGCTTCCAGCCGCCTGGCGGAGCTAGGCGAGCAGTCCTCGGGGCGCTTGGCGCGGCCGGGGCTGCGGCCGGAGCGGGCCAGGCGGACACAGACATCCGGCGCTGCGTGCTGCGCATCCCTGCCAATCCCTCTCCTCCTCCTCCTCCTCCTCCTCCTCCTCCTCCCTCTCCTCCTCCCTCCTCCCTCCTCCCTCCTCTCAGCCGCCGTCCCAGCTCAGGCTTTGGGAGTCGCTACCAGGTAGCGGCGAGCCCAGGCTGGGACAACTGCTACACGCGTCGACCCGATACTTTCGCGCCCGCCGATCACGGCGAGCCACGGGCCACAACAGGACGCCGAGAGAAGCCAGCTTGGCACAAACTCAGACGCAGCGCCAGAGCCCACGCAAGAACATTAGTCCGAATCGCAGCAGTAGCAGACCTCTTACAGAGGCACCACGATGCGATGCGTCATCACCACTACACGTCTCATAAGTCTTCCGGGTGAACTCATACATCAACATGTTGGGAGTGTTCGATATGCAGCAGGTCAACCCGCCGACGTCGGCCTCATGCAGGTTATTTGAAGTATTTCCCACCCAGACATCGAGACATGCCACAACATAATCATAATAACAATTAAACATGCCAAGAGGAGTGCTAAGATCTCCGGTACCTACTCAATCATATTTCTAATTCGCGCGCGTGGGGCGGCCCCTGGGGGCTCCCAGACGAAGAGTACCCGGGCCGATCCCCGGCCGGGTCCCGGGCGATCCCCAAGTGGGAAGCTATTTTTCGCCACCGCTCACGAGGATCGTGACCTCCGAGGGGGTGGCTGCAATCGAGTACCCCCCTCCCGCCCCAAAGGGCCCCCAAGAGCCCCAGAGGCCCAAGGGGAGCCCAAGACGCCGCCAAGGAGCCCCAAGACGCTCCCAAGAAGCCCCCAAGAGGCCCCCAAGACGGCCCCAAGAGGCCCCAAATACCGCTCCAGGGCCGGCGGAATGAGCGCAGCGATAAAATAATTAAACATGCCAAGAGGACTCACTCCCTTGGCGGGAAATGTCACGTCCGCGTCGATGGCACCAGGAATCAGCAGCAGTGGCAACAGGAGTGGTAATTATCTTCGTCAGACAACACCCGTGCGCGTTCTCAGGCCCCGACATGGAAAAAAACATTATTATTCCGGCAAAGCAACCTAACAACGATGTGTAGAAGCATATCTGGAAGCATTGCCCTTGAGATTCATGTAGGAGTCCTGGTGTAGAATTCTGGTGTCCTCGCAGTCGCTCGTTCTCCTGCTCGTCCTCGCATGTAGGAGTCCTCGTCCTCCTGATCCTCCTGCTCGTCCTCCTTCTCCTGCTCCTCCTCCTCCTCGTGCTCCTCCTCGTCCTCCTCGTCTTGCTCGTCCTCCTCCTCCTCGTGCTCTTGCCCCTGCTCCTCCTACAATTGGCTCCGGACATTGAAAATGCGGCCCGGGAATGAAGTTCTGGGAACTCGAAGAGCACGAAGTGGCCGACAGTTGGCTCCGGGCATTCAAAATGCGGCCCGGGAGTACAGTTCTGGGAACTCGAAGAGCACGAAGCGGCCTACAGTTGGCTCCGGGCATTCAAAATGTGGCCCGGGAATGGAATTTTGGGAACTCGAAGAACACGAAGCGGCCTACAGTTGGCTCCGGGCATTCAAAATGCGGCCCGGGAGTAGAGTTCTGGGAACTCGAAGAGCACGAAGTGGCCTACAGTTGGCTCCGGGCATTCAAAACACGGCCCGGGAATGGAGTTCTGGGAACTCGAAGAGCACGAAGTGGCCTACAGTTAGCTCCGGGCATTCAAAATACGGCCCGGGAATGGAGTTCTGGGAACTCGAAGAGCACGAAGTGGCCTACAGTTGGCTCCGGGCATTCAAAATGTGGCCCGGGAATGGAGTTCTGGGAACTCGAAGAGCACGAAGTGGCCTACAATTGGCTCCGGGCATTCAGAATGTGGCCCGGGAAAAAAGTTCTGGGACCTCGAAGACCACGAAGTGTGTAACTGTTGGCTAAAAAAAAATCCCGGCATCCTCCCCCGGATCGCGCCCAGACCCCCCATGGGGCGTCATGATGCTCTCTTTTGACCCTACTAGAAACCTATCAGTCTTCGCTGTTAGGTAATGACAAGAAAGATCCGCTCGTTATGGGTCCTGCAAAGTCACATGTGGCAGAATATCATCGGCTCTGGATTTCAATGCCAAAGAAAAACATCATACTGGAACAAGCACGGTCTGCATTTGAAAGACCAATTGGATGCGATCGAGAAACAATGGAGGGGTTGGGTATGATCTCGAACACACGAGAGCTCGACTCGCCGAATTGGAGACCGATTTTGCAGTCACTATGTATCAAGTCATGTTCGCGCGGTCACCACACGACAGGATTGCTCATCAAATGAAGTACGTGGACATACTGCAGACAAGGCTCAATGAATCAATCAAGATATAATATGATGCCAATACATATCCCCAATAATGTCGGACACGGACAGCCCATGTCCGCAAATATCTGAAGAAGGCTATCGTTCAAAGTCATTTCAAAGTCTTGGCCACCAGTGAGAGGGTCAAGGAAGAACAGATCAGTGACGACGAGGACGAGGATGACGACATGTCAGGTGCAGCGCCACAGGTGCGCCCAGCCAGGAAGCTAGCTGCTGACCCCAGCTCGCCGACCACGCCAGCGCCTCCCATGAGCCCCGTCAGCACAGCGGATACCAGGCAGAGTGCCATGTTACCAGCTACGCTTGCAGCCATGCAAGCCAACAACAACAACAACAACAACAACAACAACAACAACAATCATTTTACCCGAACGCGTGGTGTTCTCCCCAGTGCCAGGGTTTTCATACGACACCAGGCAATACCCCCACTTCGTGGGGGGGCATTACAAGCTCTACCAAATATCCAAACGACTCTTCGCGACCACCCAAACCCAGCTTCCCGCCCTATGACGTTGGGACACTTCACTTCGTGGCGTGCGGACGACCGTGGCTACTACACTGGCGTGGGGTACACACCCACAGAACCCAATGGTTTTTGGAGATTTCGGCGTGCGCGCGCGAAGAAAAAACGAATGTGTCCCGCATGGTATTATTTGACAGGGATGATGGCCCTGGCAGGTGCGCAACCGTTGTCGCAGAAGTTCGAAAAAGTTGCTCGCAAAAGCCCGTTTGACAGAAATGTTTAAAAAGTGTTGGGTTTCCTACGAATCCGCAAGAGCGCGCGGGATGAGATTTTGACATTTTTTTGTTGAAAAACCATTGGTTTTTTGATGTTTTTATGTTGAAATCGTTCCGAACACTAAGCTTTTGGAAGGATTTCGTCTTGCGCGCGCGAATGTCCACTTTACCTTATTTTTTGCAAGGGATTCTTGAAATTTGATTATATTAGAACAAGAAATGTCATTTTATAGTGTTTTTTGCAAGGGAAAACGGATTACAACAAAACAACCGGATCTTGATCACCTCGAATTACCTGAGGCTTCCTCACGAAAATGATGAAAACGTGGCTGCGGCCTAGGCGCGGCGGGGGGGGCGCGCACCAGGGGGCCCAACAATAATTATTCTTTAGAATTAATAATGTTCAACGTGGTCACCCAGCTCATGAAGCTGGCCGAGCAAATGGCCAGTCCAGATTACACTTACTCGTGCAGGTCTTATGCAGCCAGCGCAGCAGCCTCAGACACCAACGCCTGCTCAAGCCCAACCAGCAGGACAACATGCCGCAGCATCCGACCCGGCAACAGTTGCAGCGCCAGGGGAAGCCAGAGATCAGCACGAGCCGCTACCACCACTGGATGAGAGGGCGCCATCGCCTGATGGGCAGGGACGGCTACCAGCAGGCGCAAAGAAGGTCGCCAAGCCGCCCAAGCAATCTCTCTCCAGAGGGCCCAACAGGCCGAGCTCAAGGCCAAGGACAAGGCCAAGCCCCGCTTCATGGAGGCCCTCGCCAAAGGAGGGAAGAACGTCAGCCAGCAGGAGAACGAGGACGAGGACCCCCCCCCCATCAGCTCTGACGGCGAATCCCTCCAGCCAGCAGAGCAATAGCAGGTTCTTCGCTAGCGAATTTGAAACCTACGGCGTCTGCTCGAAGCTCAGCAGCGGGCTCAAATCCTTCAGGCGCGGCCAGAAAAGGTCTTGCATGCAGCCCGCCTCCAGCAGTGAGCTCCGCGCTTCGCATCCTCACTGCGCCTTGGCCCGAAGGCCCATGTGATGACATTATCTCGCGCGTTTCGTTTTGGCACTCAGATGCGACGCGGGGCCTGGCTGAGCTAGCAGCGCGAGTCGGCTCAGATAAGCCGACGAACGTTGACATCTGCACAGGCGGATCGACAGGCGGCTACCGCCATGCAGACAACGCCGACCCCACTCCTCCATCCTGGGCTTTCTGCGTCATTGCCACCAATGGCGAAAACACGTGGCTTGAAGGGTATCAGACTGGGGATTTACCGGGTATCAGGGATGGGATATATCCTTCCTCCTCCTCCGCATACGCAGAGCTAGAGGCGCAAACTTGGGCTGCCAAATGGTTGGTTGCTGAGTCTACATTGCGCGGGTGTGCAGTCAGTCAGCTTGCACAGCGACAGCGCGGATGTTGCACGCGCGGCGCAGCTTGGGAGCACAGGGGCCCCTCAAAGAATCCAAGGCCATCCTGGATGCGCTCGCGCAGGTAAGTACACGCGCACTCCCCACACGTGCCAGGGCACACGTGCCAGGTCATTGCAGTCGCGCATAGAGCGAACTGGTAAACACAGCAGCGAGACCTGCATCGCACAGGGGCATGCGCAGGCACGCCAGAGCAGGCGTGGCGCGCAGCACTCACGGCACGCGAAAGCACGACCCTAAGCATGGGCAGTTGCTAGTCCCAACATGGCTCGCACCGCCCTACCCCCGCCGCATGTGAAGGGGCCCTGGGACACACAATTAAATACACACACATAAAATGTATCCCCACATTTTCCATATTTTCTGGGTTTCTGTCTTCCCCCCCACTGCCAATATTTTCCCATATTCTGGGGATTCGACGATTAATTGTGTCTGTGTGTTTTTTTCTCCTCCTGAGCATGGCGCCCCCGTGCCAGTGACGCGTCGACGACGGTCGGCGGCGAAAACGAGGGGCGATGTTTTCGCGGGGGGCGATGCCAGAAGGAACCTGAGATCAAACAGCCTTGGAACGGAAAGGCTGAAGCTCAATGTGGGATCTTATATCCTACGCCACGAAAGGATGACTCAGCTCAAGCGGCTCAAATTTCTACAGCCAGCCCAAATTTAAGCGAATCTGAATTCATCCTCGCAGGCACATCGCGCGGCGAAGCTTTCCGCTGACAAAATGACGCGGATCCGCCGACAAAATGCCGCCGAAGGAACCGAAAACATGGGCTTGACGCCCGCTCGTCCACACCGTCGTCGCGATCATCACAGCTGTCGGAAGGAAGCGGCTCGGGACCGATCTCGGACACTCGGACTGTCGCGGCGGGCGGAGAGACTGTCCTGCTCCGGCGACAGCCTCACGAGCCGGGTCTTTAACATCTGCAACTGGGCTGCGTTGCCATTCGCGGAGTCGGGTTTCACGAGGGTGTCGACGGGCATGAATGGGCGCGGGGCCCATCTCATCGCCCCTGCGAGTCGATCCAGGGTCTCGCGACAGGCCGCGAGGTATATAGCCGATCTCCTGTCATTATTGGAGCCAGTGGTAGCGCGATCGCGTCGAACACCCCTTTCGCATCTACGATGCTGATGTTGTCATCGGGCTTATCGTTCAAACAGAAACCAGATCTAAGAAGGGCAGACAATGGACCCAAACGACCCCTCAAACATGATCTACAACACTCCCGCGGAGACTGTCATACAAGATAAGCTGCAGCCACTCCGCTTCGGCTAAAGCCCCCGATGGCGATTGCCATTCCCCGGCCAGAGTGGGCGATCCCGGGGCCAGGGGCAAATCGGCAGCGCGTGCCTGCCACGCGAGCTGAGCTTTCTCAGTCGCGAAAGCGGCGACGCCTCCCGCGTCGGAAGCAGCGGCAAAATGACGTCTGAGGGTTTGAGACGCCACGCGCGCATGGGCGCGGCAGCTGTCTGGTGAAGATGATCTAGGGGCGTCTCCGACGCAGGGGTTTTCAACTCTGCCAACAAGTTTCGAGGCCGCCCCGCGCGCCTTCGCCCTGCCCACACCCCGCACTCAATTGAAACGGTAAACCAGCGAACGGAACTCGGCATTCGCCTTGCCCGCAAGCGGGCGGTCGCGGTTGCCCCTTCGACCCCGAGAGATGTACTGGCGATGGAGATATCCTGATTTGTATTTCTCCCGATCTAACAGGATTCGATCGCGGGTCTCGCGCAGTCGCCTGTCTGCGCATTCGACGCCCTCGGCACACATCGCCCTTATCTCCTAGAAAACAAACCGACCCGTGAACGCTTTCGTCTGACCCCCCCGAACTTCATCCTTCAGGGCGATTGCCCAATGGTCGACTTCGATCAGAAACATCGCATCGGGCCCTGCCGGACCCCGGCGCGCCATCGAGCGCGGCTCGAGACTGGGCCGGACATGCCCCAGGGAGTCGAAAAAACGAGATGGTGGTCTCATGCAGCGCCCAAGGGGGCGCCGTCCAGTCCGTAGACTGGAGCGACCAGCTCGATGAGCGAGCCTGCTTCCAAGCAGAGCCCTTCGCAAGGCCCAGCGAAAACGCGCCCTGGGCCCGACGGAAAAGGATCCGATTGGCAGCGAGCATTTTAAAATCGCCAATGGCGAGAGACATCCCGAGCATGAAACGCATGGTGAGGAAGAGCATCGAGGATTCTATTTGGGGGGTCGGTGCGCAAATCTTCAACTCTTGGGCTTGCACTGGTCCTCCTCCTCTTCCTCCTCCTCCTCCTCCTCCTCCTCCTCCTCCTCCTATCCTTTCCTTGCAACTAAATTTACCCTGTCGCAACCTGGGGCCAGTTTCTAAGGCGGGCCGGGCGTTTCGCCTGAGACTTCTTTACCACTTACGACTGCGAAGCTTTAAAAGTGGCAGCAATTTCGCATATGGAAGGCGGATGATTTTCAAACTGTGGCCCTCGCCTTAGCGCGGCGCACAGTCGTCCTTAAAAATTGCAACAGCTTCACGGATTGAGGGCGGGTCGTTTTCAAAATGTGACTCTCGCCTTAGCGCCGCGCGCGTTCATTTGACAAAAATACGAGAGCTTCGCGGATTGAGGGCGGGTGGTTTTCAAAATGTGGCTCACGCCTGAGCGCCGCGCACTTTCTTGTAAAATGTTGCATGAGACTCGCGGATTGAAGGCGGGTGGTTTTCACAATGTGGCTCTCGCCGTAGCGCCGCGTACTTTCGTTTTAAAACTTTGCAGGAGTTTCGCGTATTGAGGGCTGGACGTTTTCAAAACGTGGCTCTCGCTTTAGCGCCGCGCACATTCGCTTCAAAGGAGTCATGAGATTCACGGACAGAGGGCGGCTCCTTTTTCAGAGCGTGGCCCTCGCCATAGCGCGGCGCACACTCGCGTTAAACATATTTCAACAATTTATGCGGGTGCGACAGTTGCGTGGATTCTCTGCGTTGAAATCCTAGGAATAGCGCCCTGGTACGATTCAGCATCGTCAAGATGCAACAATCAGGTTGATCCGTGGCGTTGGAATCCCGAGAACAATGTTTTGGCATGTTCAAGGGTCTTTGAACGGGTGTCCTCCAACTTCCATCAGTGGAAATGAACCGTTGTAGGGGTCTGTGAAAAGGGAGCTTCGAGGAAGGGTTTACTCCAACATCGCTGATGACTCTTAATTAGGTTTACACTTGTCCTCCTCCTCCTCCTCCTCATATTCCTCCTCCTCCTCTTCCTCCTCCTCCTCCTGGCAGCGGCGCAGGTCCGCCGCGCGCCGTCGCTCTGTGGTTGGGGGCTGGCACACTCCTCCGCCGCCCCAACAAAAACTGGGCGGCCCCCCCGGGGATGGCCGAGTGTCTGAAACAGCGGGACCCCCAAGGGGGAGGGGTCCGTCGGCCGGGGCCTGTAGCTCCCGCTTCACGGGAGTTCGGTGGGCACCTGCACGAAAAGGTAGGGCGGCGCCGTGAGCCCCCCGGCGGCCAGACCACCAGCCGCCGCCGCCGCGCCGGCCGCCAGCCGCCGCCGCCGCCGCCGCCGCCGCCGCCGCCGCCGCCGCCGCCGCCGCCGCCGCCGCCGCCGCCGCCGCCCGCCGCCGCCAGCCGCCGCCGCCGCCAGCCACGCCAGCCGCCCCGCCAGCCGACCGCCACCGCCGCCGCGCCGGCCGCCGCCGCCGCCGCCCAGCTCTTCAGCAGCGCCTGGGGCCCGCCAGCTGGGCGTCAGCGCGCCTCCTGGCCCCCGCGCCGCCGCGCCGTGGCCGCCCCGCCTCCGAACCGCGGCCGCGCCGCCGCCAGCGCCCTTTTTGTTCCTCCTCCTCCTCGTCCTCCTCCTCCTCCTCCTCCTCGTCCTCCTCGTCCTCCTCCTCCTCCCCCTCTTCCTCCTCCTTCTTCTCCTCTTTCTCCTCCTCCTCCTCCTCCGCCTCCTCCTCTCCTCCCCCTCCGCCTCTTCCTCCTCCTCCTCCTCCTCCTCCTCCTCCTCCTCCTCCTCCTCCTCCTCCTCCTCGTGAGGAACGGGATTGTCGCGTTCTGACAGGTACTGAAACAAGTATAACCGACTCGTGTCACTTTACCTGGCGGGCGCCGCGAGAAATGAGTGAACAAGAGCCCAGGAACAGTATAGAAATGAGAATAGGCGCCCGCCAGGTAGGTCGACACTCACCTCAGTGTATAGACCCCTCCCCCTCCCCTCCTGTTTTTACTCTTGCTTTTGCCATCCTTTTTCCTCATTCCTCCTCCTCCCCCGCCCTCCCAAGTAGAACATCTGCCTCGGACTCTGGGCTGTCAGCCACCTCCCTCCGCCCTTCCCAGCCAGTTCAGGCAAAACTTGAAGTCCACCGCGGTGGTACCTCCAGGTGGCTAGTGAGCAGGAGCGGAAGCAGGAGAAGAAGCAGCAGCAGCAGCAGCACAAGGATGACCAGGAGGAGGACGAGCATGGGTAGGCGGGCAGGGGTAAAAGGAGCAGGAGCAGGAGGAGGAGGAGAAGGAGGACGAGGAGGAGGAGGAGGAGGAGGAGGAGGACGAGGAGGAGGAGGAGGAGGAGGAGGAGCACGCGGAGGAGCGGGGGCAGCAGCAGGCAGGTGGGAGGCGAAAGAGCAGGAGCAGGAGCAGGAGCAGGACCAGCAGCCGCAGGAGGGCAGGAGGGGGGCAGCAGCAGGAGGGAAGGAGAAGGGAAAGAGGGGAAGGAGAAGGGAAAGAAGGGAAAGAGAAGGGAAAGAGGGGAAAGAGGGAAGGAGAAGGGAAAGAGAAGGGAAAGAGGGAAAGAAGGGAAAGAGAGGCCATCTGCCTGGCCTCTTCCGCCGAACTACGGCGACGTGATCGCTCAGGGCAGGCCATGCTGGCACGACCGACCTCATTCGGCGTCTCAGAGCCTCAGAGAAAGAGGCGAGGGGGGCCCCACCTCCTCGCGCCATGGAACAATCACGGCGGTGGGTTCTTGGCCAATTTCGCCATCCCGGGGCTCTTGGCAAGCCGCAAGATTATCAACAAACGGCTCTGGATGGGAAGCCGGCCCCGAGAAAGGTGTCGAGGCCTCCAGGCGTCCACGCTGTGAAAAAAAACGCACCGAAGGTCCCAGTAGGGAGGGAGGAGGAGCAGGAGGAGGACGAGTACCTGCACGGGCATGAAAATATGTATGCTCTGAGCTCTGCGCACGCGAGCGGAGACGTGTCCATACACACCTCCAGCCTCATAGCTTATGCTTGTTCAAACGTGCATGTGGCAAATCCGCCGATCCTGTCGGCGCGTTTGAGGAATAATTCTGGGTCCGTCGTCCCGTCGTCCCCTGGTGGTCCTCGGAGACAATCTTTCAGGTCGTTTCCTCTTCCGTTACCGGAGTCTCTCCCTGGACCCTCTGTGGTGCGCCAACCCGGTCAACTCGAAGCGGATGGAGCCAAGTCGCAATCGCAATCGTTCCATCACTTCCCCACCCGGGAGAACGGGGACAAAGGTCCCAGGTTGGGCGTGGCTTCATGGGGGGGTCATAAATGGCGGGGTCAGAAACGGTCCCCTTTCGTGCCCCTTTCGGGCCCCTCCGGAGCCCCAGGGGGCTCGTTTAGGTACCGTTTGGGTACCTTTTCGGACCACCCTCGCCACCTTTACGCAACGCCCAACCAGGGAGGTCCAAGGGGGTTCCGGGGGCGGGCCGGGTCAGATTACACCTCCCCCTCTTCTGGTCGCACTCGCAATCGCAGCTGGATCGAGGGGCCTTCTCGGCGGAGCGTCGCCCGAGGGGGCCAGCGAGGAGCCCCTCCGCTCTGGCAACCTCTCTCCTTCCTTCTCCCTCCTCCCTCCTCCCTCCTCCCTCCCCCTCTTCTGGTCGCACTCGCAGTCGTAGCTGGATCGAGGGGAAGCCCCTTCGCTTTGATCCCTTCCCGCCCGGGGGGGGGGGGGGGGGAAACCAGGGCCCCGAGGAGGTCCCGAGGGGGTCACGCGTCGGACTTCCACACCTCCACGCTCTTCTGGTCGCAGTCGCAGTTGGATCGAAGGGAAGCCCCTTTATGCGCAGAAAGCTTCTACACACCACCACCGCTCCAAGCCAGGGCCATCCTGGCCCTGGCATGGTGTATACCCCGTCCTGGCCGAGGCCAGGAGGGTCTATACACACCATCCTGGGGCCCGGGGTGGCCCTGGCCTGGCACGGTGATGGTGTGTAGAAGTCTTCGTCGGACTTGATCCCCACCTGGAGCGGGGTCCTGTGGGGGGGGGGGTCTCGGGGGCGTCCCGCGTCAGGTGGACCATGCTGGAAACCACCGCCTCCGCAAGCTCACAGAAAACACGCGGGACGGGCGAAATCTTTGCTTTGCGGGGCAGCGTTTCCCACTTGCGCTCATGGCCAATTCCGCACTGCGCGCAGCTCAAGCAATTACGCGTGACCAGTGCTTCAAAACTTAACCAAGCAAAGCACCCTGATAGCAGCAAGAGAGGCATGCGGGACCTGTAGGACATGTGGGACCATCGAGACCTGTTGGAGCTGTGGGACCTGTGTGATCCGTGGGGCATACGGAAGGTCGTGGGACCTGTGGGACCTGCGGGACCTCGGGACCTGCGAGACCTGCGAGACCTCCGGGGCCTGTGGGACCTGTGGGATCTGTGGGACCCGCGAAACCAGCGAGATTTGTTGGATCCGTGGGCCCTGCAAGACCTGGACTGCGAGACCTGTGGCTCTTGTGGGATCTGTATATGTAGGACCTGTGGGACCAGTGGGACTAGTGAGGCCTGTGGGAACTGCGAGGCCTGCGAGGCCCCTTGGACCTTTGGGACCTGTGAGTCCTATGGGACCTGTGGGACCTGCGGGACCAACGAGGCCTGCGGGGCCTGTGACCGTTGTGGGAGCCGTGGGATATATGT